CTGCTTTTATTTCTAATTATGTCAGTTTTGGTCCTCCGTACTGCAGAAGCCTGATAATCATATTCATTCATATCAGGTGTGTTGGAGCAGAGAAACAAGTAAAACTTGCAGAGCTGCGGCCCTCCAGGACCAGGATTGCCCACCCCTGATTTAAGCTGTTTCTAAAATCTGTTCAATTAGTTTAAAAATGTAAAAAAAAAATAAAATAAATAAATAAATAAAAAAATTTTGTTCTTTAAATCCTAAATATGTCCAAACCAGGATGAAACCATTCATTCAGGACTTTTCAAATTTTATAAAAAATAAAATAAATGTTTTATATAAATGCAGAATATATTCTGACCAATCAGAAGCTCAGACTCATCCACCGCTCTCTTTGCCCTGAGAGGATCCAGAACCAGAGCTGGTCTCAGTCCTCAGACCAGGAACTGATGGATCTGATCATACCGAGGAGGAGGAGGAGCAAAGAGAGGAAGAGCGACAGCAGAAGCAGAAGCTGCTCAGTTTTTAATCTGGAACGTCTTCATGACGCGTTTATAAAAATGTCAGCTGGAAAAAGTCTGAATCTTTTAAATGTTGGTGAGAAGAAGCTTTTCTCTGAAGGATCAGCTTCATCTTCAGCTCAGAGCAGGTTTGTCTGCAGTTTTTAATATTTTGATGTCTTTAAAGGAGGAGCTGACATTTCTCTTCTGACAGGTCGTTGGCAGAAAATCACAGATTCTGATCAGAAACGGTGACATTTTCCCGTCTTTTAAAAAATATTTATCCTTTTTTTTCTGAAGTTCTTCTGGTGCGTGGAGCCCAAATGCCAGGTTCTGACTGTGGGACGGTTTGGATCCGGAGTGGAACATCAAAGCTAATATTAACATGTAGGAGGCGAACGTTGGGCAGGAATTTACAGGTGTAATAATCCTGCAGGTGGAAGCTTCAGGCTCACCTGGATCCTGGAGTATAGCAGGGAAAACAAAGGAAACCAAGCGACTCTGGTCCCAGGATCAAACCCGACTCAGACTGGACCAGAGTCAGGAGAGAACTGTAGGCACCGATATTTCCCTCATTGACTCAGGAAAATCAAAGAAAGAGATTTTTTGCCCACGGGGCTTTTTGTAGCTTAGAGTCAAGCTGTTTGTGCTTTAGAGCCGACTGACTACTGCTGGAAACAGGAAGTCTGAGGACAGGAGGGGTCAGGGGGCGGGGCTTCCACACAGTCTGAGGACAGGAGGGGTCGGGGGCGGGGCTTCCACACAGTCTGAGGAGGACAGGAGGGGTCAGGGGCGGGGCTTCCACACAGTCTGAGGAGGAC